CCTCCCCTAACCCCCCCCCCCCCCCCCCACACACACAATTAGATCATTCATTGTTTGTATTATCTTATACATTAGTTGTGTTTATTCCACCAAATCCAAAAAAAATGTGCACGTCATTCAACAGCAGTACCTTACTGCTATTTGATACAGGCAATATTAAGCCAAAGAAACATCAACTAATAAAAGCATCAAACATTCAAAGTCATCAATTTGCTGAGAACACTTGATTCAACAAAATAATAGCAGCATTCATATATTTCAAAGTATAAAATTAACCAAGGAGAAGAAACAGTAAAGAAAGAAGGATTGCACCTTAAGGATCGAAGCCTTTTTATTTATTTAAAGGAAAACTCCAGCCATGTACACGATAACTAAGATGAATTGGCACGTGAACTCAAACAACGACTATGACCGCGCCGGAGAAACTCGACCAGAAACTCTTGGAGTTGCAAACGAACAGCTCGTCGGCTCGAATCGAGCCTGTGGTGGCGTTTTCAGAAGCTCGTTATCACGGATTTTTGGCTTAGCTTTGACATGTTTGTTGGGCTGGTTTGGGCGGCTCTAATGGCTGGGTTTGGGACTGCTTTGAGGTGAGGTTTTGGACTGATTTTCAGCAGATTCGCAGCTTATTTTGCTGCTCTCTTAGGATGGATTTTGATGGGTGATTCATGGCTGTTTGGGAGTGCTAAAAGCGATGGGTTTACGTTGGGATTGTACAGGTTCCTTACTGCATTTTTCAGATGTATTTATGAAGGTTTGAAGGCTGGTTTTTGGTGGTTATTGCAGCTAAAAAGCTGCTGGATTTTGCTGGATTTTAGAAGGGCTGTTTGGGGTGGATTTTTCAGCTGGGTTTCAGTGGTTTGCAAAGCTCATTTTTTGGGCGAGCTTAGAGGCTGAGGAGGATGGGTGAAGAGGGAGGTACGCGTTGTGTTTTTGTGCTCACTCTATCTCTATCCCTCTCCCAGATCTATTTTTCGTTTTCCCCCCAAATCCCCCTTCCTATCTATTTTTCGTTTTCCCCCCAGATCCCCCTTTTTGCTTATTTTTCCCAAATCACCTCAGATGTTCTTCGTTATTTTTTCCTCTTTGTTCTGTGTATGTGTTATATAGATGTAACACTCCGCACATTCGGATTAGGTATGAATGAGTTAAAGAAGTAGTAAGGTTATATTTTGGACATAAGAAGTCCTATCGGGATACTTATGGGTGAAAATAGTTGTTTCAAAATCAAGATGGAAAGTGAGGTGCATAAGATTCGACAAAATCGACTAAGTTTGCAGAAGGTCTGTCTTCCATCAGGGTTTAGTGAAACTATAAAAAGAATTTGGGAAAATTTAAAGCATGAAAGTTGTAGGCCTTTGAAATAGCTTTCCAATGATATATTGTGGAACCCAAACGGAGCTCTGTGCAAAATTTTACGATCGTTTTACAGAATGGTGCGTAACCACCACGTTCGGTCGCGTTTTACCGCGACCGCGGTCGTGAGGCAGTGTCCCAGCGATTTACCGCGGTCGCGCCTACTGGGACGCGGTGGCCGACTTGGGAAGTCATTTTTTTAGCTATATTTCGTCCCCCACAGCCCCAAAACATAAAAACTTGCTCTAGAAAGGAAAACTCTAAAAAACCTAACTCCTTAAGGGTCTCTCCACCACTCAAGATAAGTTCTAATGGTGATTCTAAGTTAATTTCAATTTCCCAACATCATATTAACACGGGCAAACCCTTCATATCATTAGATATTCGATTGGGACACCATTGTTGAGAGAAGAAACCCTAGAACTCGAATTCAGGAAGATTGAACGTCAAAAAGGTAATATCTTCACCCTCTAATTGATTCTATCATTGAATTAATGATTATAGACTCTATTTCATGAGATATGAGTTGATGGGTTTGATAGAAAAGCATGAACGATGATAGATTCGGGTTGTTGATTGGTTATTATTGGTTATGGGTGTTGATTACCTTATGGGTGATAAAGAATAAGGTTGATTATATATAACCATTTGAGACTTTAGAATTTATCTAGGAGCAAGAGAATGGGTTATTGGGTGTAGAGACACCATTAATAAAGACTATGAAGCTTTATTTTCACTAAGTGTTTGACAAAATGCTTAAGTG